AACTATTGGGACTATGTCAAAATAAAAAGCTTCTGCACAGTGAGGAAACAATCAACAAAACTAAAAGGAAACATACTGAATGGGAGAAGACATTTGCAAATGACATATCTGATGAAGAGTTAGTATCCAAAATATATAAAGAATGATACAACTCAACAACCCAAAAAACAAATAGTCCAATTAAAAAATGGGGAGAAGACATAAACAGACATTTCTCTAAAGAAGACATCTGGCCAACAGACACACGTAATGATGCTCAATATCACTTATCATCAGGGAAATGATAATCAAAACTACAATGAGATCCCCTCTCACACATGTCAGAATGGCTAAAATCAAAAACACAAGAAACAAATTGGCGAGAATGTGGAGAAAAACTCATGCACTGTTGGGAATGCAAACTGGTACAACCACTGTGGACAATAGTATGGAGGTTCCTCAAAAAATTAAAAATAGAACTACACTGTGATCCAGTAATCACACAACTGGGTGTTTATCCAAAAAATACAGAAACACTAATTCAGAGGGATAAATGCCTCCCTCTGTTTATTGCAGCATCATTTACAATAGCCAAATTATGCCTGAGTGTCCATCAACTGATGAATGGATAAAGAAAAATGGTGTATATATACAATAGGATATTATTCAACCATAAAAAAGAATGAAATTTTGCTATATGGATGGAGCTAGAGAGTATAATGCTAAGCAAAGTAAGTCAGTCAGAGAAATACAAATACTGTATGATTTCACTCATGTGGAATTTAAGAAACAAAACAAACAAAGGAAGAAAAAGAGAGAGAGACAAACCAAGAAACAGGTTCTAGAGAACAAACTGATAGTTACCAGAGGGGAGGTGGGTGGGGGATGGGTGAAATAATTGAAGGGGATTAAGAGTACACTTGCCATGACGAGCACTGGGTGATGTATAGAATTGGTGAATCACTGTATTGTATACCTGAAACTAATATAATACTGTATGTTACCTATACTGAATTAAAATAAAAAACTTAATTAAAAAATGCTCAATAACAACTACAGACTCGGGATCATATAATTTGCTCATGGACTCACACAACTACAGACTCAGGATCATATAATTTGTTCACGGACTCACAGGTAGAAATTCAGGTTTGTCTAACTTTGGAGCCCACACCACCCAAGAGCTAGTACTGAAAACTGAGGTGTCGACATTCTTGAGCTCTTGTCACCTTTACCTAACACCCAGTTTGGGGGTCTAGGGGAGGAAAGAGGTACTTACTGATTAAATAAAAAGTCTAAGAAAATTGTGAAGTCCAAAAGTTTTGGGAATAGGAGATCACTGGTTACTACTTTAACAATTCACATCCTGAGTTTCCTTATTTCTATACGGAGGATTTGGACCAGATAATATTTAAGGCTGGCAGTCCGTCGCTTGATTGTGCTATGCATATATTCTTATTTCTGGTTTCCTAGGAAAAAATATATATATTTATTTATATATATATATTTATATTTAAATTACTAGTGAGAAAGATATATCTTCCTGAAAAATAATGACAATTCTGTTCTTATTTAGGTTTGGGACACATTGGCTAATGATAAAGAATATGGATGAGGGGGCGCCTGGGTGGCTCAGTTGGTTAAGCGACCGCCTTCGGCTCAGGTCATGATCCTGGAGTCCCTGGATGGAGTGCCGCATCGGGCTCCTTGCTCGGCAGGGAGTCTGCTTCTGCCTCTGACCCTCCCCCCACCTCATGTGCTTTCTCTCTCTCTCATTCTCTCTCTCTGTCAAATAAATAAATAAAATCTTTAAAAAAAAAAGAATATGGATGAGGTGTGATGGAAAACTAGGGTCAACAAAGGAAAAATTATCTTTGGCAGCTTTTCATCATCATTTTCAGGATCCTCTAAACAGTGCTAATGCTCAGCGTCTCTTCTCTTATGCATTCTTAAAGCTGTGTCCCTGAGATCTTACTCTGAGCCTCCTGGAACAATTAGAACTGGACCTATTATTTTAGGGATGGCCAATCCTTTGGATGAGAGCTGCCAGACTGTCACCCACTGCAGACATGACTAAGTGATCACTGCCCTCTTTCTCTCTGAACCTTGACTCAGCCTTAGAATCATTCACCACTCAATGCCACAAGAGAGCCACTATTAATTGACTGGAGCTGACACTTAAAAAAAAAAAAAAAAACAGCCATTGCATGTGTGCTAAACTAATTCCTCTTTTTTATAAAAAAAAAAAAAGGACAAAATTTACATCCTATTTGAACTCTCATCCCAGAGTAAGAGATTCTTGAAAACATAAAAGGATGTTAAGTCCTTTATCAGTGACTAAAGGTGGAATCTCAGACCAGAGGAAAAACAAGTAGTGAGGATTATTAAACAAAGGCAAGGGGATGGGTTTTCTGATAAGACCCAAAAGACAGCACGGAATTTGTTCACTGTGAGAGTGAGAGGTCAGTTTACACTGACCTTTAAGATAAAAAATGGAAGATGTACAAGACACAGTGATGATTTTTAATAAATATTATTTCACCACAAACCTAATTCTTATCTGAGTCATGGAAACAGAGTTTGTAGGAACCTTAGAAAGACCAGGACTGGATCCCTAGATCCCACAGAAAACCCAGGTGGGGATTGCTCGTGCATGTAAAGCCTTGGCACACATTATTGTACCATGAGGCCTACCCCACTTAGAATCATCGCCGGTACTAGAAAATTCTTCATCCACTAAATTCTGGTATGTTCTAGTCATTGGTTTGAGTTCTGTCTGAGCAATACAGAGTATGTGTGATGTGCCCTCATTCCAAATCCTCTCTTCTCTAGGCAAAATAAATTTTTTTAATAAACCATTCCTCCCCCTCCTTTCCTCCCATCACACTGGTTACCTGTTTTTTTATTAATATGGCACATCAGTAGAGAGTTGTAGGGCAATTTCCTCTGTGATTATAGAGTCTTGTGATTCGAGGCTATTCATCAATATCCAGCATTTACCTGAGTGAGTGTGTACATTGAGGCCGTGGAAAGGGAGGGATGAAGTCACTGGCAGTTCATAAAAGGCACTTGAAGAAAGGGTGTTGGATGCCTGGGTGGCTCACTCAGTTAAGCATCTGCCTACAGCTCAGGCCATGATCTCAGGGTCCTGGGATCGAACCCCACATTCAGCAGGGAGTCTGCTTCTCCCTCACCCTCTGCGCTCTCTCTCTCTCTTGCTTGCTTTCTCTTGCTCTTTTCAAATAAATAAATAAAATCTTAAAAAAAATAAAAAGGTGTTCATTGTCTCCCTGTACAATATGGGACTGCTTTAATTTTAACCCAGCAGGATCTCTGGTTTCATATCTGCTGTGTCTAGCACAGTATTGGACACATAGCAGAATCCACTATTAAATACCAAACTGAATTAGCTAACTGGGTTCTGATTCACTTCTGTTTGCTAAACTTATTACCCATTATATAAGTGAAACTTTCTTCCTGTTCTCCTCATTAGTAAATGGAAGTGCTTGGAAAATGGCAAAAGGAAAAAATAACTTCACGAAATCAACATCTATTATCTGCTGGCCATGGTATTGGGTACTTTATATAGTAATTTAACACATTTCTCTGAAGCCTTTGTGATGTGGAGATTATTCTCTCATGTTATACAAAGAAATGGAGGTCTTAGATTGTAGGGAACTTGTCTGAGGCCGTACAGCAAGTTAATGGCAGCAAGAATTTGATGCGCCGCCCCCCCGCCACGATTACCCCTACATCTTCAGCTTAGATGGAGTGCCTGTTCAATGTGCTCCCATAGCAGCGGAACTTTTTCTACCCCTATGACATCATATGTGATTGCTTGTTTACTCTCCTCCTCCCCTGCCATGGGGAACCATCTCCAATCAGCTCTTGTTTGTATGCACAATGTCTGACACACAGTAGGAGCCTAATAATAAATATTTGTTGATGAAATAAATAAAAATCCCAAAGACTACACCGTAAATGCTATGCCAACAGAACTCTGTGACTATTCTCATGTATCATCTCCTAAATGGTCATCATCTTCCATTTCAGACATTGAAACACTAAGAACTTTAAAAGTTTAGAAAACAGGATAATCAGGCCATGAGCCCATGACCAACCTTCATTTCCTGGCTTCCCAGGTCCCCCCACCCCCAACTCCCTCTCCTTAGCCATCACCGACAAGCACTTACATCTCCAACATTAACAGCAATTACGGCTTGGAACATTAAGAGAAAGGAGCCATTGTCTCTGATGCCTTGGGTGCTCCTCCCTCTCTATGAATGACAGATTTTATAAGTCATCCAACATGGCCACACCTCGGAGGTAGGGTGTACAGACATCAAGAATACTGTTCTGGGATTAGAGGACTCAAATGCAAACCTTGGTTCTGCCAATTACCAGTTGTATGACATTGAACAGATGACTTTATCTCCCCAAGACTCAAGTTCCCTGTTTGCAAAATGGGAATTAAAATGATATCTTCTTCAAGGGTGCCCAGGTGGCGCACTCAGCTAAGCATCCAACTCTTGGTTTTGACTCAGGCTGTGATCTCAGGGTCAGGGGGTCAAGCCCCACGTTGGGCTCTGTGCTCAGCGAGGAGTCTCCTTGAGGATTCTCTTTCTCCCTCTCCCTCTGCCCCTCCCACTTGTGCTCATTCTCTCTCTCTCTCTCTTTCAAAGAAATAAATCTTTTTAAGATAAGGTATCTACTTTTAGAGCTGTTAGGGTTCCATGAGATAATGCACAAAAAGTCCTTCAATCGATGTTTCGTACATTGAAAACATTGAGTGGCAGCAGGTAATGCTAGGAGCTGCAGTAGGAGGAGGGCTGCCTGGCCTCAGCTCCCCATGTCCTTTCCAGTAGCAGCAAGAATAAGCATCTGTGAGGATTCTGCCCACACCATTGCTGCTTCAGAGCCCTGCCCCCCCTGGAGCGGTGTACATTTGCCAAGGAGCTGATGATGCTGATGGATGAATGCATCCTGATTGATCGATTTTGTTATCAAGTTGACACATGACATCAGTCCTCGAGAAATAACTTTATGATCTTGTTTATTGCTTGCTACAATAACACAGTTTCAGGTAAAGTTTACAGAAGAATCTTTTCACTGCGTTCTCCTCAGAAAATAAAATCCACCGCAGGCCAGATAGGAAGCAGGTAAGCCAGTGTTCCTCTCTTTTCCCCACAACCTAGGAAGAAAAAAATAGTATCTTATGCAACACAAGATTGTGAAATCGTATAACTTGGGTGATGGGAAGTCATGTATATAGAAAACTGTGAGTGGTAAGTATGTGGTGTTTCTTGTAGATCCAAACCTACTCCCTGTGGCGGTCCAGGCCTCTCTTCCCAGATGCTGAACATCATTTTGTTCCTAAAGTTTGTGTGTCTTACCTAAACTGCAGAGGAGAGAGCATCCTTCATGTAGCTTTGTGAAATCACAAACATATAACTTTTCACTTATGAACATGCTGCTGTGGCAAGACTCTTAGGACAGGTTTACTGAGGCCTGTCTGCCCATCTCCCCATCAATATTCACAGATTTCCACTGCCTCTCCGTTCTGGTCCAGACAGCTGAGGGCGGTAGCAAAGAGGCAGAGGATTGGGTACCTTTCAGCTCCCCGGAAAGCTGCTTGAACAGCGAGAGAAGTGCTACCACAAACACGCCACACAGAGTGGTAGAGACCCAGAGAGACATGAGAGGACCAAGATGGATCTGCGGGGTACAAGGCACGTGAAATGAACCAGAAACAGACACTGAAGCAGCAGAAGGGAAAAGGCCGGGTGACCACACAAGCTACACATACATTTGGCATTTGGCTCAGACAGCAGGGATTACCTTTGGTGGGTTTTACTTTATATTTCTCAAGCTGCCTGGCTTTTGGCTGTCACTTTAGGGCCCTGAGAGGGGAAAAAAAGAAAGAAAAACGCATAGAAAAATTTAAGACATGATTATTTAAATTTCGAGGTGCATGTTGCCTTGAATTTTGGAAAGAAAAATTACAGCAGTCCCATCTTGTACAGGAAGACCATGAACATCCTTTCTTCAAGTGCCTTTTATGAACTGCCAGTGACTTCATCCTTCCCTTTCCATGGCCTCGATGTACACACTCACTCAAGGAAATGCTAGATATGGGTTAATAACCTCAAATTACTTTATTTTTTAAAATATTGTATTTATTTATTTGACAAAGAGAGACACAGCAAGAGAGGGAACACAAGCAGGGGGAGTGGGGGAGGGAGAAGCAAGCTCCCCGCAGAGCAGGGAGCCCGATGCGGGGCTCGATCCCAGGACCCTGGATCATGACCTGAGCCGAAGGCAGACGCTTAACAATTGAGCCACCCAGGCGCCCCTCGAATTACTTTAAATATATGTTGTAAAAGCTAATAATTTGAACCACACACACACACATACACACAATTCCCACAGACTAAGCACTCCCTTGGAAAAAGTGGAGGGCTGTCAGCCAGAATGAAGGCTGTGTGTGAGTGCGCATGTCTGTGACCGGGCAGGAAGGACAGGGGAGGCACAACTTTGTGTGTGTGCGTGAAGTGTGAGTCTGGGGTGAAGTGAGAGATGCTGGGAAAGAAATGGTGAGAAAGGAAGCTGGAAATCAGTGAAGAGCACTTCCAAGCAGCCATTCACACATACCTGGCGTTCACACATACCTGAGACCCTGGACCACCACAAGCTGGCGAGAGAATCCAGTCACTGGAGTGAGAACACTCAGGGAGCACGTGTCCTCTCTCCCCCCTCACTACACGCACCCCCCCCCACCCGCCAACTCCTCACTTTACACACGCATGCTGCTACAAGGCCATGAAGGTGAGGCAGCCACCCCCTGAGAGACTTCACAGACTAATACCCTTCCTGCTCCCCTCCCTTTGGAGCTGATTATGATTTCCTTTGCAAATCAGTTTGGCTATTTGTTTTATTAAACTAATGAGGGATTAAAACAGGAGAGTATGGACCAAAGGTATAATTCAAGGATAAGTATCGCCATCCTCATTTACAGATGGTATACTACAGTTCAGTTTAAGTTATATGACCAAGACGACTGGAATGAGAACCTGGGTTCTCCTGACATCTTTTTCTTACAGTATGTTGTTACCAAGGAGACAGTGCCTAGGTCCTTCCACAGAGACATATGCTGGTGACATCCAGCTCACGGGGCTCTCAGAGGCCTCAGAGACATTGTGGGGAAGAAGCAGCGTCCTATTGGGAGTTCTGTTGTATTTTGTGTGACCAGGAATACCAGCTGAATTTCAGCGGAAAAGAAATAGAACTACCTCTTCGTTAAAGCAGGCTTCAGGCCCTTCAGCTTTGCAACACTTCACCACCACGTCCGTGAAGGCTGTAAGCAATGACCTCAGCGCCTCATCTGTAAGTTCAGGCCTTCGCTTCACCAGATTGACAAGAAACCTGTGACCCAGAGATGCCAAATAGAATTAATTAAAACTTCTTCCTTAAGCTCCTCTTCTCCAAAACGCTTGTCACAATATCACATATCTTGGGGGGCACTTGGTTGGGGAAAGTATAAAAAGTTAAAATATTCCACTTTGAAGGGGTCTCCCGAAGCTTTCCTGTTCAACTTGTGGGTTGGATTTCAAGGCAACATTCTTCAGAGAGCTATGTAATTATAAACAAAAATGATATAAAAAAAATGTGAACATATATTAGGTCTTCCTCATGCACAGTACTGTAGATTATTGTAGATTACTTTTGGTCCTTCTAGAAAATTCATTTTTTTTTTTATTATGTTATATTAATCACCATATATTACATCATTAGTTTTTGATGTAGTGTTCCATGATTCATTGTTTGTCCATAACACCCAGTGCTCCACGCAGTACGTGCCCTCCTTAATACCCACCACCAGGCTAACCCATCCCCCCACCCCCCTCCCCTCTAGAACCCTCAGTTTGTTTTTCAGAGTCCATAGTCTCTCATGGTTCTTCTCCCCCTCCGATTCCCGCCCCCTTCATTCTTCCCCTCCTGCTATCTTCTTCTTATTTTTTTTTAAACATATAATGTATTATTTGCGGAGGGTGTGGGCTATGGAAAATTCATTTTCAAAACAACCTCCTCTATTCCCTTTTTCTCAGTAGCTGAATGTTGTTTCCACTCCACTTGATACAGACACTACCTAAGTCTCCCCCAAAACTCTTATTCTTTAGCATTTATAACATTGCCTGAGAAGACAAAAGTAAAATTCTTGTCCCTTTTAGGCCTCTTATTTTTTCAAACAGTAAGCAAGATTCTCAGGGCAAATATCTAGGACATTCCCTCAGGAAAGCCCAGTTCATTATGAACCTGCCTGTGAGCCTTTTTGCTAGCTGCCCTAAGTCACCTTTCCAAATCACAGTGTACTAGACAATCCACGCCTAGCGAAAGAAGACTAGCTAGGTTTTGACTTATAAGCAATAGCAATAAATAGGCCCCGGTGTCTTTCTGGATTGGAGAGACTGGACAATATGATGGAAGTAACAGGATTAGAACACCAAAATCACATATGCATCACAGTACACCTTCTCATTAATTATGTGCCTTCAGGCTGAAGAAAAAGATGAATGGAAGAGAATGTTTATACCTGTCTTTCTTTTTTTGGAGCTCCTCATTATGAGCCTGACATAAGTCTGTGTGAAAGGTAAATAAATCTTGAGGTGTAGAGGGAGGCACATATGTTTTATCAGCTTCCAAGCCCTCAAAGCAGGGCCTTCTGAAGGCAAAGTTGGTTTTACAACAGTGGTCCACGTCTGGGTTGATGTTCCGATTTTCATTTATTCCACACAACTCTCCAAGAACTAAATCCATCTGTCCCAATGAAAGATGGAATTCAGATATGACTTTAAAACTTGAATAGAGTTTTGAAATATGGCTAGAGAAACAGATTGTTCTAAGATGACTGTTAACCGTACTCAGAAAAACCCATGCATTTGTAAACATGATACTACTTGCAAAGCAAAGTAGAAGCTTGCATTATAACAAAATTTAAAGCCATTGCAATTCAAATGCCTGTGGGTTAATTTCTTGTTAGCTTATATACAAATCTGTAATTGTGAGCAGAGAGCTGCAAAACAGCCAACTGAAAGTGGCAGCCAAACACTGTGGCCCTCTGATTTATTCCCTTCCTGGGGTGTCCTCCAGGATAATCTCCACCCCTGTCCTAAAAAGATACATCCAAGTTGTGACTGGGCAGGAAGCATAGATTCTCTTACTGACCTGGTGGGGCAAGATTGAATTTGTAACATGACTTGAAATTACAAAGTTTCTTATATCATTCTGAAACAATATCCTTATTCCTGCCATTTGCCCTAACAATTTACAACTAACAAATTAGTAATAAGAAATAAGAGGGGCGCCTGGGTGGCTCAGTCAGTTGAGCGTCCCACTCTTGATTTTGGCTCAGGTCATGACCTCAGGGTCGTAAGATAAAGCCCTGCATCAGGCAGGTTCCATGCTCAGTCTGCTTCTCCCTCTCCTTTTGCTCCTCCCCCTGCTCTCTCTCTCTCTCTCTCTCGCTCTCTCTCTCTCGCTCTCTTGCTCTCACTCTCAAAAAAAAAAAAGTAAGAAAGATGATTTGGAGAACACCAAGAAAATATTTAATACATTCTCTTTTACTTCTTAGGATTGTGATGCAGTGAGCCCCCCCAAAAACTTTGACATTCCTTGCTTAACAATGTTGAAAACAATGAAGAAAGGCATATAACTGCCTTATTGCTGTAGATCAATGAGTACAGCGGATGTCTTTTTTTTTTTAAGGACTAGTTAGGTACGTGGGCCATGCTCACCAAATTATCAACGCAGGCAAACTCTTCACTCAGTGTGCAACAGGTGGCCAAAGCTGTCACCATTTCCTTGCCAAGAAAGGTCAGTTCTTCAGTGGAGACCTGGGGGGCTATCTTTGTGAATTTGATAAGGTAGCTGAAAGAACATTTGTCTGTTTGGTTCTAAGCAAAAACAGATACCCATTTTCCCTTGTCTAACTGCTTGAAACCCTAACTCTTCAAGGCTAGGGACAACCAAGGTAAGGACAACGTGAACCTCGGCTTTCTCGTAAAATGGGAGAAACCGTCTCTTCACTCCCTATTTTTCCCACACCCTGCCTCCTAGATTCTGCATTTTTGGCCTCCTCCTAATTTCATGGTAATCTCAGAAATTCTCAGATTTGCTCAGCCTGTCTTACCTGGGGGTATAGGAACTCCCTGGCAAAAAATACCTTGGCTAGTATGTAAAATCCTGCTTGAAATCCCTTGCATAGTTAATAAATATTTTAAAGGGAGAATTTAATTAATAGATACATGTTGGAAAAGGATAATCTGAGATGAAGGGAACTAATATCTTTAATGGGCTGAGTTTGAGTTCTCAGCCAACAGCCGGGTTGCAGAAACAGTGAAATCCTATTTTTTAAACTGTGTTTTGATTTAGAGATGTTTAGTTTAAACACACACTATATTACCCTGGTAATTAATTAAGAAAATCCAGAATAAACTGTGTATTATTCATGAATTTTCACAAGACCACTAAAAAATAAATATTAAAGTATTAAACAAATCCAAAATTATTTCTATAAACTCGGTAAGAGGGGTTCAGAATCTGGGCAAACTATCTTTTCCTTGGGAAATTGCAACAACCTGAAGTTTCCTCTATCCCCTGCCTTCTCAAATGGGGCAGGATCCAGAGATTCTGGCTTTGGATTGACAAAAGCAAGTCCAAGTGAAAACTAGAGCATTAGAGAATCAATTTTCTGGAATCCTGTATTTCTTTCATTTCTAGCCTCATTCCTGGTAAAGGCTAATATGACAGCTTAATGCACATTCTTGACTTTTGTGTTTTTATTCTTTCCCAGGTTATGGATTTGCCATAACTGAAAGACTGAGCTGAATTTTTGTGGCACTCTTTATCTTACTTATCCTGGTCACAAGTGTTAACCAACTTGTGCAAGCAACTTACTAGTATTTCAAGTCATCTTTCCCCAAATCCTGGAAATGTGCACATTCGCGTTGTACTATCTTGAGGCTTTTCTCAGTTGTTTCATTGAATTTGTATTCCTAAAAATAAGAACAATCATATTTATGAACATTTTCTCTAAAATTTAATCATAAGCTTCATGTCAACTTGTCAAGTAGCTTTTATTTGTATAGTATTTTAAAAGTATCATTACCATGCATTTCTCACTAAATTGAGAGTAGTTTTCTTTATATGAGTGCGTAAGAATTTAAATCTTTTCAGCTATAAATATAGAGATGGCTTTTACTAAAATTTGAAAGTCCAAATTTTTCATTATCATCCTGTACATGTTTTAGAACTTTCCAGCTTACAAAGAATAATTCAAATCTTATGTTGACAATGATCATATTTGCTTTTCACTTTCATGTGGCCAGAGTAGTCTTTCATTTTTACATAAAGGAAATCAGCCTTATGAAGTCAAATGACTGGCTAGAATGACCCCGCTAGTCAGTATTGCTACAGAACCTTTTTAATCACATTTATTTTTATTTTATATCTTATTTTCCATCATTTAGAACTGGAACTTAAAACGTCCAACAAGTGTCTTCAAGTATTTGACAAACTCTATCTCCTCGGCATAAAATTGGATAGTTATCTACCGAGTGGCCATCAGAGATAAAACTACATACCAGTGAATGGATGTGTGGGGCATACTGTGCCTCCATATGAAGAAAGAATTTTCTAGCACTATGATTCATTTAAGGGTCAGGAACAGACAGTGGCAGAATTAGACTGAAAGTCAAATCCTCTGACTTCATTGCTCAAATATGAATGGGTATAAACTGGCTTTTATGGTTAAGTGGAAGCAATTTTTTAGATAAAGCCAAAGCAACACATATCAAATGAATGAGAAACAAATCAGAAATGCCAAATAATTAATTTCCCTACTACATAAGGAATGCATATGAATTGACACTGAAACACACTAATTTCAAGAGGAAAATGGATAATGGGCATAAACAACTTATTCACAAGAAATTTATAATTACAATAGCTAAAATCATATGGGAAAAGCCTAACTTCACCTAAAAATCAAATAAATGCTTAAGACACAGTCGCTATTTTTTACATATAAATCTAGCAGTTAATTTCCATGTGCAATGATGGCAAAGGTGGGGGTGAAGCAAGTATTTTCAAGCACTGTTGTAGGACTGTATGCTGATAATACTTTCTAGAAAGTAACTTGGGCATTTTGTATCAAGTGTTGTTGTTGTTGTTTTTTAAGTCTATATACTTTGACCTAATAATTTCCCTTCGGATAATATATCTTAGGAAAATAGTCACAAATATTAATAGAGATGAATGAAATGAGATCTTCACTTCTGGCTTGCTTACAAAATTAAAAACCTAACTAAATGTTCACAATGTCCAACACATAGTAGAACAGTTAAATAAATCATGATGATGAGATCCCATCATTTAAAATAAAGTGTTTTGAAATCTGTTTAATGACATAAAAAGTTTTCTATGATAATAACTAAAAAATAGACCCAGGGGTGCCTGGGTGGCTCAGTCAGTTAAGCAGTTGGCTCTGAATTTCAGCTCAAGTCATGATTGCAGTGCCCTGGGATCAAGGCCCGTGTCAAGCTCCCAGCTCAGTGGGGAGTCTGCTTGAGGATTCTTTCTCTCCCTCTCCCTCTGCTCTCTGTCTCTTTCTCTCTCTCTAAAATAAATAAATAAAATATTTTAAAAAATATATCAAAAAATTTAAGAAAGTATTATTTCAATCTTATTTTTAAACACTGATATATGCATATATGCATAAAAAAGATGAAAGAAAATGTTAATTATAGCTATTTCTCAGTGATAGTGTCAAGCTTTCATTTTTATCTTTATAACTTTTGGTACTTTCCTAATCATTTTTGATAATCATTTACTACTTTTACAATCATAAAAAATCCTATACAGCTCAATAAAATGCAGAGTACATAAATAAAGATCTAAATGTAAAATATTGAATGGGAAGATTTTTTTTTTTCATCAACACACAGAATTGGTAGTTCAAAACATTGTGCAGAAACCTAACTTAGTATCAGTCTTCCCAATGATTAGCCCGCACAGAATTTAAGTATACTCAGACGGGTCAATCACATTTCCTACTCCCTAGACTAGAGAAAAACTTTGATGTCAGCTATGAAAGGTTTGTTGTTAGGCTTTGTTTTGTCCAGTTCTGTGAGCCCGGAACACTGGAACCTACTGCATGGCGGTAACAGTCTGGAGGGTTTTCTGTGTGGCAACACTCTTTCAGAAGATCTTCATACACTCCAGCAATTCTTAAAAGCTCTGGTATAGACAGTTCCGGATGTCTCCTTGAGTGTTCATAAAGAAACCTGTGATGTGTAAAATGTTTCATACATTAGACCTTAGAGAAAGAACAAAATATCAAATCCTGCTATCTCTTAAGCTAGTCAGATCTTGTAACACTGACTCTGCTTTCAGATGCTAACTTCCTCCTCCAGTTTTGCTCAGGGAGTGATTTCAGAGGATATTTTGACTACAGGAAATCATTTTATAAAGGTTCTCTTCCGTAGGATGTTTTAAACCAACAGTGCTTTTACTTGAGAGGATAGAGTGATTAGTAATTCCGAGTTAATTATTAGGATGATTTGATGCGTAAAACATCAGAAATAGTATATCATGCTACCAATACTTTAGAAAATACATAGTGAGTCTAATTCTGTTGGAAACGGCATTCAAACCTCCAACTGGAGATGGTGGAAATATGGCTTGCTCCCCACTCCAGGGTCATCTTGGTGAGAGACTGGGAAGCCCGTGACTTCATCCCATCACTTGTCAAATATGGGAGTCCCCACCCTTGGAGCTCTAAGTCATTGGCAGTGGTTTCTATGGCCTCAGCGGAGGCTCCAAGGGTACAGGCTGTGTGATATGGGGAGAAATGGGAAAGTGAGAGGGAAGAGGCTAACACTTATTAAGCCCTTAGTAGGTGCTAGCACTGGATCAAGCTCTGGGCATAAGAGATAAAGAAATGCTTCCTAGCCTCTGGAAACACTTTTCTTGTTTAACTTCACTAAGTCCTCAAGATCGGTACTACTCTATAGCTGAAGAAAGGAGGTCCAGACCAGGGAAGCACCTTGTTATATTAATGGAAGTGTAACATGAGAACACAGGTCTGGTAGGATGCCTAATTCATTCTTTTCTAAACAAATTGACTCTCTTTGCAGGAGAGCAGTGTCTCCTCTAAGCACCCAGCTGTGCTCTTTACAATCGTTTTCATAATAAAACCTTATTGGGGCACCTGGGTGGCTCAGTCAGTTGAGCGTCTGCCTTCGGCTCAGGTCATGATCCCAGTCCTGGGATCGAGCCCCATGTGGGGCTCCCTTCTTAGCCGGGAGACTGTTTCTTCCTCTGCCTCTGCCCCTCCCTCCGCTCATGCTCTCTCTCTCTCTCTCAAATAAATAAATAAAATCTTTTTAAAAAATCTTATCTATCCATTCAAAATAAGTTAAAGTGGCCTTCTATGTTTGGCGAGAGCAACACCTCACAAAAGTTTCTCAGTTCCAGGGAACTCTGCATCCCTTTTTGGTTCGAAGTCTTTGATTCTTGGTTTTTGGGTTTTTTTTGACATTGTCTCTCCTGCTTCTCCACCTGCCTTCTCAATCCTATTTGTGGGGTATATTCCCAGACCCTAACGCAACTGCATTTACCCTTTAGAGAATCAAGGGCTCTTTTTAATATCTGATGTACGCCATGGACCTTTCTACAGGAATAAAATCACACCTAAAAAACAAAACACCCCACCAAAAGGCTGCAAACAAAAATTCCTAGAAGCCTACCCTAGCCTGGAAGATCTATTGAGATCTTGTGTCAAATGTTACACCTAAAAAAAAACAACACCCCACCAAAAGGCTGCAAACAAAAATCCCTAGAAGCTTAACCTAGCCTGGAAGATCTATTGAGATCTTGTGTCAAATGTTTACACCCGGAAAGACTGCACCTTAAAACTCCTTTTCTGACTCAGCATGCTCAGTGTTGCTCCGTGATTTCTCCTCAAACGCTATGTTGTAACATGATGATGGTGATAAAAAAATTGCTTCCATTTGATGAGCACATGTGTCAGGTAGAAGTGAAACACATTACCTCTAACATTTTGTTCAGTTTAATTTGAGTTAATACCCAAAACTCATGAGAAGCAATAGAACACAGTGGTTTGGTTCTACGAGCAAGAGTCTGGTGCCTGACAGCTCCCGTTTGAATCCTGGCTCCACCACATATCATCTGTGTGACTTGGGAGCAAGTTACTTAACTTCTGTGCTTCCGTCTCCTTACCTATAAAAAGGGATAATAAAAGTATCCTAACCTTAGAGGGTTGTTTTGAAAACTAAATTAGTAGGTAGATGAGAAGCACTTAACATTTGGTAAGTTTTCACTAATCTCTCTGTCTTCCAGAGCTCCGGGTTCACATACAAAATTGTCTCATGATACTTGAGACCACATGGATGGACCTGGAGGGTATTAGGCCAAATGAAATAAGTCAGACTGAGAAAGACAAATACTATACGATTCCACTTATAAGTGGAATCCAAAAAAAAAAGACTACAAACAAATGAATAAACAAAAAGCAGAATTAGACCTATAAATACACAGAACAAACATGGCTGCTGGAGTGGGGGGATGGGCAAAATGGGTGAAGGGGAGTGGGAAATACAGGCTTCCAGTTCTGGAATGAATAAGTCACGAGAATAAAAGGCACAGCATGGGGAATATAGTGAATGGTATTGTAGTAGTGACATACGGGATCAAATGGCAGCTACACTTGGTGATGAGCCTAGTATAATATATAAGCCTGTCAAATCATTATGTTTTGCACCTGAAATTAATGTAATATTGTGTGTCAACTATATTCAAATAAAAAAAAAAAGAACTGTCTCATGACCTTCCCAATTGTTACTTCATGTGTACCTCAAAGTCAGTGTGGTCAGATCCAAACATACTCTCTTTCCCACAAAACCTTCAACCCATACTTCCCGTCTCATTGAATCTGAAAACTACTTACCCAACCACCTAAGCCCCAAACTGGGATTCATTCCAGATGAAGTTTCTAAAAAACAAAAGTGATTTTGTCCTTCCTTATTCTTCAGTGAAAGCCCTTCAGTGGCATCTCATTACTTTAGCATGTCTGCATGATCTGACCGCATAGACTTCTCACTACCCTCTCTCACTGCGAATACCCTACACAAAGCCACAAACACACCAGGGGGTTTTATAGTTCTATCCATGATCTACCTCTTCTGTCTAGATTACCAAAATGTCTTTAACTACCTCTTCCCTATCAAGCCTTTCCAAATTTCCCAAGTACAACTGATCACTCCCTTCTCTGTCTCTACATTATGGGTCACACAGTGCTATCGGAAATAGAAGAACATGTTGTGCATTCATTTATTTATAAGTCTGTCTCTTCCCCCATGGCATTCCCTGTTGATGAAAGCTTACTGCAGAAAAAAGCTCTGTCTAACCTTGTATAGTGCCTGGATTATGTTTCATTACCAATAAGCTTGGAATGAATGAATATTCTTATATGAATTTTATATATGATGATGTGAAACACAGCGAGGTTAACTTGTCCTAGTGACCCAACCAGATCTCAAATCTAGTCCCTTTGGCTCCAAGTCCACTAGATTCCCTTGAACGGCTGTGGAGTGGCAGAGCATGGCAGTTCAGCCCACAACTTCCTAGGCCAGACCTCCTCTGGTCAAACCCTTCAACAAGTGACTTAGCTGCTCTGTGCCTCCATTTACTTATCTGAAACGGTGGGGCAAATCGTACTGGTTCATGACTGTTGTGAGAGTTAAAACAGATCATCTACATCAAGTATTGAGTCCATTGTCTGGCACATATCAAGTACTCAATAAATGTTAGCCATCCCTATAATCACACAGTTCCATCTTCTTAAAATCAGGTGAAAACACCATAATCTGTAGCCATGATTTTTTTTAAATCATGTGATACCCAATGATTTAAATGGTTCCCGTTCCTTCCACCCAAATTAGCCAAAACAGGTCAAATCATAAGTTTCTGTTTGCCTTATAAATTTCAGTATAGACTTATGTTACTCAGCCATGAAGATCGTTTGATTAGCATCTCGTTCTTCACACACATTTTCGCTTTCAGTAAATTTCACTTCTCTTAGAGCTAAGTCCTTTGGTCTATCATCTTTATTCGAGGAAATGATGCACTCGCCACGCTCTGGCATTTTCTTTTCACAGCACTCTTTGATTTTGCTGGAGATGGAATCTTGTTTGGAACAAATATGGCTCATAACCTTGCTCTGTAGGACAGAAGAATGAAAATTACTTTATTTTCATCATTTCTTCAGGGTTGGATTTTCCTTCATAATGAAATGGTTGTGTATACACAACCAACCATGTTCCTCACATCTGGAATTGCTTTGTCAGATAATTTGATCACAATATTTAAATTTTGTCTTAATGTAATACACATGAAGTTTTCACATGAAGGCAAGTTTATTTCTGATTTCAAATGCTGAAACTATGAAAATTTTGAAATGATTATAAAACCCACATTTCCATAACCAAACAATAAAAAAATAGTGAGTGATATTGCTTTTAATTGGAGTCCAATTAAGGACAAAATAATTCTTGGGGACATCTGTTGTCCACTGCTTGAAATAAAATGTATATATCTTCATATTCTAAAAATCAAGTTAATTAACATACAGTTTTGCTGTGAATTTTAAAAAGTAAAACTGATTAAAAGTCACTAAGAAAAAGCCTCATTTCAACTAAGAAGGCAGGATTTTTTTTTTCTTTTTGTCTAAAGATTTGTTTATTTATTTAACAGAGACAGAGAGGGAGAGAGAGAGCAGGAGGAGGGGCAGAGGGAGAGGGAGACAAGCAGATCCCCTGCTGGGTGGGGAGCCTGGGGCAGGGCTCGATCCCAGGACTCTGAGATTGTGACCTGAGCCAAAATCAAGAATTGGACACTTAACAGACTGAGCCACCCAAGCGCCCCAGAAGGTGAGATATTTTTAATGAAATTGTGTTACTTTTGTGTGCATGAACAACTTAAAGTAAGTCAATAATATATATACCAGTATATGCCCTTAGAAAATCACTTTAAAGAATAACATAAGAGTTACTTTAAATTAACATCTCCACTTATTTGACAAGACTGCTCCTAAATAGCTGGAGGAAACTCAGAGAAAGCAGTTCTTAAAGATATAATGGTAAAAATGATTCTCTGAGCTTTACTACTTAATTTCTAATATCTCTAAAAGAAGATATGCAATATTAAAGAAAACATCCATATGCCTTAAATGATTCTAAATTCCTAAAGTTTTATGTCAAGGACATTTAGCTGCATAAAATAGAATCTGTTGAGTAATCTAATAACAATCCCATGTGTAAAAAAAACCCAAAGTTTTATTTGAGCTTATTTGTTAACATTTTATTTTTTTATTTTATTTATTTTATGTTATTATTTAACAATTTATTAACATTCTTTTTTTAAGATGTATTTATTTATTTGAGAGAGAGCAGGGGAGGAGGGGCAGAGGAAGAGGGAAAGAGAATCTTCACGCTGACTCCCCACTGAGCTCGGAGCCTGATGCGGAGCTCGATCCCAGGACCCTGAGATCATGACCTGAGCCAGAACCAAGAGTCAGCCGCTTAACTGACTGAGCCACCCAGGCGCCCCTTATTAGCATTCTTATTTCATGTGGTAAATAAAGTAGCCATGTATGAGGAAACTTCAGAATAAAAAAAAATGGCTGCCCCAAATCACTATTCTTACTTGGTTTTAGAGAATATTTACCCTCTCATGGATGCACTGCATGGCATCCCCTTCACAGCATCCATCATACTTGGAAGAAACATCTTTTAGGAGGGAGGTAAGTTCCTTAAATTCAATCTTGGGAAATTTCTGGCTAAGTATAGCAACATTTCTGGAAAAAGAATTGATAAGCCACTAAAACAACTTCAACAGCAAGTGAGACAAGGGGGACTTCTTGGCTGATACAGTATAAATAGCTGCAATAAGAGTTGGAACCCTTGTTTTATTCACAGGTATCTTTACCAAGTAGCTGTTTATATGGCGCACAGCCTGCAGGACCACTCAGCAGCTCTTGGGCTGATATTTTGAGTCCTGGACCAGGAACAGGATAAAAAGGACTGAGATGTATGCTCGCTTCCATAATTTTTATAGAAAAACACATTTTGTCAGGACCATAGCTTCCTGCTTTGAGCCCATGCAGGGATAGATAATCCATCCCAGAATTCTTTCCTGCTGATGTAGTTAAAATCTCGGACTTTTTCTCAAGACATTGCAATAGCACCATTACTAATTAGTCAGGATGAGCACTAGAGATAAAAATTATCCTTATAAAGTTGTCTCCTAGTCATTAAAGTCAAAGATGGATGGATACATCCCATCTAAAGCACTTGGAGGTTTTAAAACCCTGGTTGGGAACTTCCAGACCAATTCAGATTCCCAACTAACCAAAGAATATCTCAGAAGTAACCATCTTTCTCTCTAGGGTCTCCCCACTTCCCAGGTCTTCTCTCATTCTGAACTAGTATCCTGGTTCTGAGCTATCCATGTGGACTGAGAACCACCTCAACACCCCTGGAGAAGAATAAAAATAAAAAGTCATCAACAATTTAACAAAAATGGGACACAGAGGAGAAAACATAAGCAAAGACAAGATTCATATTAAAACTCACATCGATTCTAAGACTTGCAGTCCAAACTTCATAAGTGCCCCACAGACATTTTTTTGAAAAGAAGATGATGCTTTTAAATATCGTATGACAGGTTCTGCCTGAAGGAGAAAAAGAAAATTCTAATGAAGCAAGCACAAAATCCTATTATTCTCTTATTTCTTAACTACATCTCAACCAAATTTTCCAAAATTTGCTCAGAAACAGAAAATCTGTGGGATTTTTATCCTAATAAGTTTATATATCAAAAGAAATATGTATTTGTGGCACATTATAAAAGTTAGGCCAGTCTTCCTGATGACTGAATTATGCTTGGTGGGAAGGTGTGTTGTGAGCTTGTCCATCTCCAATGGGATGATTAAATTTTATGGGTAGCCAAAAGAGGGCTTGTCCAGAATAAAAGATAAATGCCATTTTTACCCTATCACTCACTAAGGCTTTCCTCCAATTTACAAGGAAGACAATGCTAGAAGAAAGACCCTGGAAATAGGCAATTGTCTTTCAAGGGTCTCAAGTGGTAAGAAATTTAGATCAGCAGCAGGTGAACAAAGGGTTGAAAAAAACCATTGAAAGTGGCAAGAAAATGGCTGATAAATGGTAAACAACCCTTTTCTATAAGTTAACTTTCAGTAAAGATCTGCAGTGTGGGGTGACTACTTATCATTTTCATGAAATAAATGCAAAACTCACCTTTGTCCGAAAGCAGTTAGCTTTGTCTTGTTCTTCACAACATGTTTTAGTCATCTCCTCAAAACGAGCCACAACAGTTAGAAGTGTAGGGGCAAAAACAAAGGGGTTCCTTCTGGAAACTTCATATATATAACTATAAAAGAAAACAGAGGGAAGGAGGGAAAGTGGTTAAAAGTGGGAAAGAAATTTTCAAAAAATGGTAGACAAGGGATGGGAAGAAAGGGGAGGGGAAAGGAAAGATAGGAAAAGACAAGAAGATCAGGTTGCAAAACTGAAAGAGGAAGGACTTCCCATTATGGAAGGCCTCAATATAAGACAACATTATCCAGTCTCTAATAAAAGTTCTATCAGTTAAGTTGCCAACTCCCAAATCAGAGTGATGATTACAGTTTTCATCCTGAACACTGAACTATGGCTGCTTCCAGACGGTCAGCAGCTCTCCTTTCCACATTCAAAGAATAGCTACCTGTGCACACTCTCTCTGAGATCCAGGGGTTTTATTTCCTTATGTTCAGATCCACTTGTAATTTAAGTTTCAATGAGCACACCCCTTTCCAGAAAAAAAAAAAATCTCTGCTTCTGTAATTATTGCACTATTGCAAACAGATTTTTGGTAAACATCCATTGATTTAATGTTTACCCTCAGTAAAAGCTCCACCTTCCTTTTGGGAATACTAGATTATTTCCTCCAGTAGCAATTTGGCACCATGCACACACTCTGTTCTAGGGCTTACCACATTAGAAAAACATGTATCTTTATTGAAAGGATCTTGAAAGTAGATTTCATATCTTATTCATATTTATATCCTCAATGCTGAACACAGAATGTGACCCACAATACACGTTGAATGAATTAATCCATCAATGAAACTAGCTATGTTCCTTTGGAACAGATACTGGACTCAGCCTAAGAATAATTCTTCAATTAGGTAATCCTTCTGCTAAAAGAAAACTTACTTGTTTAGAAAAGATTCTCTGTTATTTTTATAAGTCTGGCATTTCTCTTCAGGATCCAGGGTAGGAAGAGGAGGCAGAAATCCTACATCAGCTTTCTTATTATGGAAGAAACAAAGTTTTCTTTCCAAGTCGACCTTACTGCAGCAGTGTGAAAAATTATGCTTTTGTGGCAGTCCCTCCAGAGCACATATATTTTCCAGTAAAACATCATTCTGGACAACAGAAAAGTAAAAGACATATTTTATTCATTGTGAAGTTTTTCAACCTTCTGAGATGACACAATGAGTGCCATGAGTGATGAGTGTCACCCTTCGGGAAAGAGATTCCAATTTCGCCAGTATTACCAATAAAGCTTTGCTACCCACACCTGTGACAACCATCCCACACTTTGGGAAACTTTTTCTACCCTGCCTTGGGAACCTTTAACCTCTTACTCCTTCTTTGCTACTTACATTTCTCTTATATAACAGCCTTTTTCCTTTTCTCTCAAGGTGATGAGGTCAGAGTGTGAATGTGTTGGTAAAGTATTAGCAGTAGTGTTTTGTAATAGTCTTCTAGAAATGCAGATGGTGAGGCTCCTGGGTGGCTCAGTCTGTTAAGCATCTGCCTTCGGCTCAGGTCATGATCCCGGAGTCCCGGGATTCAGCCCCGTGTTGGGCTGCCTGCTCAGCAGAGAGTCTACTTCTCCCTCTACCTCCTCCTGCTCTCTCTCTGTCTTTCTCAAATAAATAAATAAATAAAATCTTTAAAGAAATAGAAATGCAGATGGTGACTCTATTTGGCAGAGGCCCAGAAAAGGGGGTGTGACAATAGAGCATATACTGAGAGAGGCAGCTAAGGAGGTTACCTCTGTACTTTTGTGCACATTGTCCAACTATTGGCTGCCTCCCTGCCTGTATACATATGGCATGGACTGCCATCTCGTAGCCAATTCCTTCTATGCACCATAATACAGAATTGCATCTCTCCAAGGAAAGTACCTTATCCTAAATTCCAGAGTCAGGCAAAATAAAAAATGAGGGGGCATGGAGCATCTCTTTTTTTTTATATTTCAAGCCAAAAAATCTGTTTAACAAATAAGCGTATTTGTTTAAAAATGCAAACAATTTACTTACAGCTAATTTGTAACACATTGGGAGTGTCACGTCACCCAAGCATTTATCTCTATATTCTGTCATGGCTTTTACCAACACTTCTACTTCTTCAAAGGAGACCTCCTGAATATACTGAGCAAATGCGATGATTGTGCTGCAACAGTCCACAGAGAGTACACAGTGATCACCTGTAGAATTTCCACTTCTGTCCAACAAAAACTCATAGAAACATTCACTTACTGATTAGTCTCAGGAAATTATCGAAGTGTGAGGGCTATAAATTTTACAATTTCTTGACAATTCAATTGCCTTATCTGAATTTTATGAGTAATACTGTATTTACTTTTTAAATACAGCTTCTATTTAATTGAATTACTTTTGAGAAGCATTAACATTTCTGGAATATATCAGATAAGATCATATAAACGCCATCATCATAAAAAATAGTTTAGAGAAACTCACATATATCCAACATTCTCCTCTATAAATTTCTGGGTGATACTGACATCATCTGAAAAGCAAAGATATATAGGTTATTATGTATCCTGGTATTTTAACATTTTCCCACCAAATAACCATACATGACATCTACATTTACAAAGTATAAAATAGAAAACTCACTGTAGAAAATAATTTGGCATACTTAACAAGAAGGAGAAAAGTCATACGAACCAAATTTGAGATCTTAATCACAGCTTACTATGTACTCAAGAGATATTCATTAAGTTGAATTGACTTGAATTAGTTTCAAACTGACCAGACTTCAGATTTGCCATTGATGTCTCCCCAGCCACAAATGTCAAATCCAAGCCCCATTTTCATGCTAAGTATTTATCATGTATGACTAGGAAAGCAATATGAAGATTAACTGATACGTGATGTCTTGCTACTACAGGGCCCAACAAGAGATGCCATAGTGTGCTAGTAGTCAGTATAGTTTATAATGCTAGCCAGACACAGATATTTAGATGATCTCTGGACTAGTCTAAAATCATTGATTCTCTCCCAAGGAGCATATGTTAATCAGAGCACACTTATATTTGTCCACATAGACTACTTTTATGAAGACCTTACTTTCACAAGGTATTGTGCTGGACAATATGAGGCAATCAGTGATAATTAAGACATCTCCCCTGGACCTCAGGTCTCTAAGTACTCTCATAGTGCAAGTGACTTATGAACATGACTATAATCCAATTTAGAATGTACATGACATTCTAAAATAGTATGGGTAAATTTATGACAGGAATGCTTTATGATCCTTGGGTGAGAAACCAGAAAAGGATTATAGCAAGAGTGGCATATGATTTGAATCTGAAAAAACGTACAAGATTCCAGCTAACAGAGAAATAAAGAGGCTCATCTCTCTGTGTAGAGAGAATAATGTGAGGGAAATTACAAAAGTAAGAAATCTTGGGATGTATTTGGAGAAAGTCAATTAATCCACTTTCATGAGAGAGTGGGTCATAAAGAAAAATGGAAACTAGGGTAGAAAGGACTTGGATCCATATCCTGGGGGTCTTGCACTTAAGCCTAGGAGTTTGGGCTTCAGATAGAAGCTATGAAGAGCCATTATTAGTTTCAGGTATACAACTTATTGATTTGACAATTCTATATATTACTCAATGCTCACCACAATAAATATAGTCACTATCAGTCACCCACACAACATTATTACCATATTATTGACTATATTCCTATGCTGTACTTTTCATCTCCATGACTTATTTATTTATTTTATGACTGGAAGTTTGTACCTCTTAATACCATGTATTTATTTCACCCATTCCTTCACCCACCTTCCCTTTGGCAACTATGTTCTCTGTATTTAAGAGTCTGGGTATTTTGTTTGTTTTGTATTTTAGATTCTACATTAAAGCGAAATCATATGGTATTTGTCTTTCTCAGTCTGACTAATTTCACATAGCATAATATTCTCAAGGTCCATCCATGTTGTCACAAATGGCAAGATCTCATTCTTTTTTACGGCCGAGTAATACTCCATTATATATATACACCACATCTTCTTTATCCATTCATCTATTAATGGACACCTGGGTTGCTTTTATATTTTGGCTATTGCAAATAATGCTGCAATAAACATAGGGTACATACATCTCTTCAAATTCATGTTTTCATTTTCTTTGGTTAAATAGCCAGTAGTGGCATTACTGGATCATATGGTATTTTTAATTTTTCGAGGAACCTCCATACTGTTTTCCACAGTGGCTACACCAATTTACATTCCCACCGATAACGTATGAGTGTTCATGTTTCTCCACATCCTCACCAACACTTATTATTTCTTGTCTAATTTATATGCAACCACAAAAGACCCTGAAAAGCCAAAGCAATCTTGAGAAAGAACAACTGGATGTATCACAATCTCAGATTTCAGGATATCCTACAAATTTGTAGTAATCAAAATAGTATGGTACTGGCACAAAAATAGACATATAGATCAATGGAACAGAATTGAAAGCCCAAAAATAAACCCACGTTTATATGGTCACATATAATATGTGACAAAGAAGACAAGAATATACAATAGGGAAAAGACAGTCTCTTCAATAAATGGTGTTGGGATAACTGGACAGCTACATGCAAAAGAATGAAACTGGACCACTTTCTAGCACCATACACAAAAATAAACTCAAATGGATTAAAGACCTAAATGTGAGACCTGAAACTATAAAATCCCTAGAAGAAAGCATAGGTAGTAATTTCTTTGACATCAGGCTTGCCCACATTTTTCTAGCTATGTCTCTGAAGGCAAGGGAAGCAAAAGCAAAAATAAACTATTGAGACTATGTCAAAATAAAAAGCTTTACACAGAGAAGCAAACCATCAACAAGATTAGAAGGCAACCTACTGAATGGGAGAAGATATTTGCAAATGATATATTCAGTAAGGAGTTAATATCCAAAATCTATACAGAGCTTATACAACTCAATACCAAAATACCCCCAAGCAACCCAAGTAAAAAAATGGGCAGAGAATCTGAATAGACATTTTTCCAAAGAAGACATACAAATGGCCCAACAGACATCATTAATCGTTAATCATCAGGGAAACACAAATCAAAAGCACAATGAGGTATCACCTAATATGATTATTTCTATATGCTAAGGAATATCAGGCAGGTAGTGGTATAGCTAATATGCAGGGAATTAGAAATAGACACAGTGCCTGACAAAGAGAAAGTGACAAGAACTATTTGCCAAAGAGATGGGTGGGAGAATGAATGGATGGATAGAAAAAAAGCAAGCCCATTAGGTGATATTTGTAATTGTTCTACTGAGAAATCATCAAGACATGAATTTTGTTAGGAGTAATGGAAATGTAAAGGAAAGCACAGATGCAAAATATATTGAAGAGACAAAAATCAACAGGATTTTTGAAGAAGTCATTACAAGGGGCAAAGTAGAAGAACTCAAAAATGACCATTCTTCAAGCGGCAAAGTAGAAGAACTCAAAAATGACCATTCTTCAAGCCCTGTGACGGGTCTCACTAGATTAGACTAGCAGGCACTGTGGGGAGTATGAAATTAAGTCAGATACAATCCACAACTCCAGAGCCACTGCAATGCTTATGGAACTTTTGTGCAAGTTACAAAAAAGTCCTTCATCCATGCCAGAGGGATTACAAAAAGACACTTCCTCTAAACAAATGAAGTTCAAAATGTTCCCCCTTTGGGAAGAAAAAATATATGTCACCCTTTCCCCCCAAGCTGACACTGCCTTGGCCAGATTAATGAGTATGTACAAACTTGAGAATATTTATAAACTGTGCAGTTGGAAGAAGCAGGGTCCTGCGTACCCTAAAGGTGTTTACCACCTAGTTGGGAGATACGTTGAACAACCATAGATTAAAGAAGAATCCCAACTCACATCTCATGCTTCACTGTTACCATACACTATATACACTTGCAAGAAATACTAGTATTTTTAAATCCAAATTATATAACCCAGCAACACTTTCTATACTGCCATAAAGCTGGTGACCATTTGCTGGGTGAGATAACTACTATCTCTGTCCATAGACTGGGTAACATGACCATGAAAATACAAAATCTGGGAAGGTTAGTTCAAGATATGTGACCAGTATATATAAGCTCATGGGGGTAGGGGAGTGAAAAATTAAATGGAAATAAAACAAAGTTAAAAAATAAGAAATTATCCCAACCTAGTCATTCCTTAGCTAATATACAAGTAAATTTCTTACCTACATCTTGAGGCTGTGTGGGCAGGGTTAGGGATTCAGGCACACAGAACAGGAAAATAACAAAACCTGTAAGTTTTAACTGTTTCATTTTTTTTTTTTTAGAAATCACATTCACAAAAGAAAGTAATGTAACTGAGGAAGATCAAGTTTTTATATTATTCTTTGACACTATTAGTAAAAAAGTAACCTGTTTAACCTATTTCTCATATACCTCACGTTTGATTTTTATTTGATCACTCTGCAGATTTTTTTGTTAATTATTAACTAGAAAAAAAATTATCTCTGTGTTTTACTGGAAAAATCTATTGGGTTAGAAAAAAAGTCCACAGGTTAAGTATGCACAATACCTAATCAAATAGACAACCGAAAAAAAAAATCTTAAAACATTGCAAATGTTAAAGAAAAAGGGACTAGAATAAATAATTCACCAAAGAGGAAGCACAACTAGAAAGATGCTAAGTTTCATTAGAAATCCAAGGAAGTTAAGTTTTAAAAAGTAAAATTTTTATATACCTGACAGAATTAGAAAAAAGAAAATAATTAAGATGTCCAGTTCTGGAAAATGTATAGTAAGACAAGTCTCATATAATCAAAGCTTTTGGAAAACCAGTTTATATTAAGGATCAATAATCTTGAAAATATTCATATTATTCGAGCCAATCACTCAAATTCTGGGAATCTACACTAAGAACATGATCCTAAACATGGAAATATTTGGAAGTACATGATAAAAAGGAAGTCAATTTTTTTAGTTATGCCAGTAAAAGGGCCTGAAAACAATAGCAACCAAGTAGTAAGGAGCATATTTCATGCCCACATTTTGGGTTCTAAACACTCTTCTCTACTATAAGGATCCTGAGCTTCTTAGAGAAATGAATAATTCCAGATATGGGACATGAAAAATAGAAGATGAGCTGAGAACATGGTGCCAGAAACTAAGGAAGTGTTCAAAAATTGATGGGGTCATATGCAAAAAAAGTAAAAGCCAATGGGATAATTTGACATCATAAATAATGACAGGAATGCATTATAACCCATTATGTTTTTGAAAAAGAGTTTTTGGATCTATACCCAACCAAAATTAAAACAAAAGTAGGGAAAGGAAAAGCTCCTCTCTACAGAAGAATGCCAACTAATAAATGTAGTTAGAATCAAAGCATCACAGTTCATAACACCATACTGTACACTAAACTGTGGTATAGTCACTGTGTGGGCTACTATTGGTCTTTATAACTAATGAATATAAAGAATATTAATAACAGGAGAAATATTTGCTACATAATATTTGGAAAAAGAGTAGAATCTAAAATTGTTTACATTATATGTAGAAAGTGGTAATGTGAACACACTACCAAATAGGAACCAAAGGAAACCAAAAGAAAGGGAGAGAGAGAGAGAAACTGGAGAGAGAGAGAGACAGAAAGAGAAGGCAGAGTGTATTACGGGCAATCAAGAGAGAGAAACATACAAGAGTTTCAAATAGCTATCTATACACTAGGATAATTCCAAATAGATCAGACATCCAGACATAAAAAGGAAAAACAAGCAAACATAAACGTACTAGAAGAAACACAAGTGAGGTGGGAACATTTTTTCTACCTATGATGCAAAATCCAGAAACAATAATAAGTTCAACTACATAAAAAGAAATTTAAAGACTTTACATGGAAAAATACTGTAGGCAAAGTCAAAAACAAAGCGAAAAAACCAACAAAAGATAGTTGTGATCTATATCATACAAAGAGCTCTGGAAATTTGAGGAGGCAAGAAAAGACCAACAATCTGAGAGAAAAATAGTAAAATGATCTAAGCAAATAGTACATAAGAAGAAAAAAAACTAATGGGTTCTAAACATTAAAAAAAATTCTCCTAATAAGAGAAATGCACATCAAAACAACACTACAGCAGCATGTCTTACCTATATGATTGGCAAAAATCCAAAAATTTGGCAACATTCTGTGAGGATAAGACAGTAGGGAAGTAGTTCCTGTCATCCATTGCTGGTGGGAATGCAAAATGGTGGTAAAGATCTATGGAGGAGAATTTGGCAGTATCTAAAAATATGTGCATTTATCCCCTGAGTCAACAAATTTTCTACTAGGTACCTACCCTAAAAATACACTGCCAATATTTTTAAATGACAGAAGCACTAGGTTATTCATCATGGCATTATTTGTAATTGCAAAAGATTGGAAATAATTCAAATGCCCATCAATAGAAGGTCAGTTAATGAACTATAGCATATACACACAAAGAAATTCTATGAAATTTTTTAAAAACACTAAAGAAAAAACCTTATGCATCATATGGAGTGATCGCCAAGATTATGTTTTTAAGTGAAAAAGGCAAGGTATAGAACAATATAAGGAATATGTAATGTCTCATGTAATAAAGATAGAATGGTGTCATAGGAATATATTTATATACATACTTGCTTAGATATCAAAAATAAAGAACAGAATGATTAAACTAAGAATTAAGCAAAGCTGTTATCTGTATGAGAAAGAGGAAAAGGGAGACTAGGGTAGAAGGAATGTCTAAGTCAGTTCGGACTATTATAATGAAATATCATAAACTGGGTGTCTTATAAACAACGGAATTTTATTTCTCAGAGTTCTGGAGGCTGGGGTCTGCAACACGGCACCAGTGGGGTGGGGTTCCGGTGAGAGCCTCTTGCAGGCTGCAGACTGCTGACTTCTGCTGGTATCCTCATATGACAAAAAAAGGGTATCAGGGTAATGCTGGCCTCATGGACTGAATTGGAAAATATTCTTTTCTTAATTTTCTGGAAGTGTGTAGAATTAGTAATATTTCTTCCTGAAATGTTTAGTAAAATTCACCAGTGAAGCCTGAAGTTTTCTTTGTGGGGATGACCTTAACTACATTTCCATTGCTTTAATAGATAGAGCAATAAACAGATTATCTAGTTTTTCTTGACTGAGCTTTGTTAGTTTGGTAGTCAGTGGTATTTGCCCATTTCCTCTAAGTTGTCGAATTTATTGGCAAAATATTTTTCAAACTAGCCCCTTATCATTTTAACTTCTAAGGTGATGTCTCCTCTCTCGTTCCTAATATTGGTAATTTATCTATTCTCTTTTGTTTCCCTTGGTAAATCTGGTAAGAAATTTATCAATATTATAGATCTTCTCAAAGAACCAGTTGAGGTTTCATTTATCTTTATCTGTTTTTTGTGTGTGTGTTTTCTATTTTGTTGATTTCTCTCTTGATCTTTATTATTTCCTTTCTTCCACTTTCAACTTACTTTGTTTTAATTTGCTCCTTTTTTTTCTTTTTCTTTTCTTTTTTTTTTTTTAGTTTCTGAAGGTGGAAGCTGGGTTCACAGTTTGAGAGCTTCCTTTTTTTCTAATATATGTGCTATAAATTTCCTTTAAGCACTGTTTTACTGGCATCCCACAAATTCTGATATGTTGCTTATTTTCATTCAGTTCAAAATATTTTTAAATGCCCTTTTTATTTTCCCTTTGATTCATGAGTTCTTTAGAAGTGTATTATTTTGCTCATGAGCATTTGGGGATTTCAAGAGATCTTACTATTACTCTTTACCAATTTAATTCCATACTATCAAGCAATTCTCTGGAATCTCTCTTAACTCTTTGAAAGCAGCATCACAGGGAGAAGACAAATTCATTATATGGAAATCCACCAGTGCTGGGGAAATGGGGACTGGCAGGGAAGAGTTGGAAGAGCTAATTCAGGCTGGTCTATATCCACCAGTTTCAATAATTTGTCATCCCAACAGTTTAGTCCTATCCTGATATTATGCTGTGGACACCAGGCAATCTGGGCTACTGCTTCTGATTTATGGCAACGGGACAAGTGACAGTCTCCTTTGCAATTCAGCATACAGACAAGAGCACAAGTTAAAATCTATCCCCTCCCCAAACCCTCTTACACTGTTGGTGGGAATGCAAACTGGTGCAGCCACTCTGGAAAACAATATGAAAGTTCCTCAAAAAGTTAAAAATGGAGCTACACTACAACCCAGCAATTACATTACTGGGCATTTACCTAAAGGATACAAAATACTGATTCGAAGGGGTACATACACCCTGACGTTTATAGCAGCAATATCAACAATAGCCAATTATGGAAAGAGCCCAAATGTCCATTGACTGATGAATGGAAAAAGCTGTGGTGTGTGTGTGTGTGTGTGTATACAACACACACACACATACACACACAATGGATATATATATATATATATACATATACATATATATATATAGTATGTATATAATGAAATATTACTCAATCATAAAAAAGAATAAAATCTTGCCATCTGCAATGACATGGATAGAGCTAAAGAGTATAATGCTAAGTGAAATAAGTCAGTCAGAGAAAGACAAATACCATATGGTTTCCCTCATATGTGGAATTTAAGAAACAAAACAAATGAACATGGGGGGGTGGGGAGAAAGAGTTTTAACTCTAGAGAACAAACTGATGGTCACCAGAGGGGAGGTGGGTGGGGGGAGGGGTGAAATAGGTGATGGAGATTAAGGAGGGCACTTGTGATGAGCACCAGGTGTTGTATGGAAGTGTTCAGTCACTAAATTCTACACCTGAAACTAATATTATGCTGTATGTTAACTAACTGGAATGTAAATAAAAATGTGAGAAATAAATAAATAAATAAATAAAATCCACCCCTTCCCCCATCACCTAGCCACCGTCTTTGAAGCCAGCTGCCACACACACCAGATCTTAAGAGACTTTAACTTCCTCAGTGGTTTCTCATGTTTATATATTAATTTCTCACACCTATGTTTCTCCTTCTTCCCAGTGTGACCATTAGAAGAGGGACCTAGCAAAGGAGAAAAAGATGGCAGAGGAGTAGGGGACCCTATTTCACCCAGTCCCCCAGAACTGAGCTGGATATCTACCAGACCACTCTGAACACCCACAGAATCAGCCTGAGAGGTAAGAAGATATATTTGGATCTCTAAAAACAGAATATCGGAGGCGGTTGGCTTCAAGGTATGAAGCGGGGAGCTGTGATTCCACAGGCAGATATCCAAAAATAAACAGAAGGGGGAGGGAGTCATGGGGATCCTGCACCCCTTGTGAGCACAAGTCTCCTGCTCTGGGGACAGGGCACAGACTAGCAGACCAGTAGCAATGGGGAAAGGATGTTAGGGCAGCCCCTCAGACTGAAACCCAGAGCAGCAGGCCGAGTGTGTGAACTGGGGGTAGCT